AGGAGAGTTTAAAGGTTACAGGAAACCAACAAAGGGTGCCATGTATCTTGAGTCTAGCAACAGCAGGATGCTGTAACCCCCAAAGTCTGAGGGGTGGCAGGAGAGGGTATTAGCAGAAGGTGGTGAGACTGTAGCTGTAGGAGAGGCCGCTGTCAGGGGAAGGAGGAAGTGGCCCTACTAGCAGGGAGAAAGCAGACAAAATAAATAACCTCTTTGCTCCTGCCTCTGATTTCCTGCCTGTGCCTCCACTGACTGAATGCAACCAGAAGCCAATGTGCCAGGAGCCAGGCCAGTGCTGTCCATCAAAGTCACCTCTTGGGGCCCAGAGCAGGGTGAAGGGCCGAGAGGGAATGTGGAGGGCAACTGAACAGAAGCCAGAACGAGAGATACAATTTTAGAATCAAGCATATCTGAAAGAATCTTTATTCCACGCTGTCTCTAGAATGATTATTTGGCTGGCACAGAATTCTAGGTTGGCAACTCTTTTTTTTCTCAGAATTTTGGAGGCACTGTTCCATGGTCTCCTGGCTTCCAGAATTGCTGTTGAGAATTCTATGCTATTCTGATTCCTAGTCGTTTTTCATGTGGTTTGTTTTTCCTCTCTGGAAACTTCAGATCTTGCCTTCTCCCCAGGGTTCTGCTATTTTGAGATGATATGCTGTGGTGTGGGGTGACTTTTCTGTCATTGCTACAGAGTCCCTGGAGTAGGCCTTCACAAAGTGTATTTGCCCAGTCCATCCTAGGCCCTGAAAATGCAGGAGCTGCTGATGCAGACACCCACTCTCCTGTGACATGCAGAGTTGAATACAACCGCTCATGGCTGCCATCTGTTATTATCGTACACCTGTGGGCGGTGCCGTGTGAGCTCCATGGCCATGAGTTCAGCCAGGATTCCAAGACTGGCACAGGCGGCCTGGCCTCCTCTTCCAGGTCCTATATTAGTGAATAGTCATGAAGGTCAGTGGGTGGTTGGGGGAGAGGAGGGAAGAGGGAGATGTTTGGTAGATATAGGAGCTGCAAATTGTCTCAGAAGAAAGGTGGGTTGGTACAACTTGAAGTTGGTTCCTGGCAGACCCCCTGGTCCTGGCATGGGGCCTGAGCCCCTTTGGATGGAAGACAGGTTCAAAGGCTTAGAAAAGACTTCAGGAGACAGTGGACACAAGCAGGTCTAACTTGGGGCCTGGATGATGGTGTGTGACACAGAGCTGGAGAGAGGCCATTCTCTCTTTGTGAGGGAACAGTGACCACCAATCCCCTGGAATCCTGAGCAACATGATGTCATGAAACAGTGTCATTGAGAAAGACTTTGTCACAGTGGGTATCATCAGCAATGGCGAAAGGAGCTGCTTCCAAGGCTGTGAGACTGTGGGGAGGGACACATGGGAAGGGAGGCAGGAGAGAGGGGCCTGCAGCTGGAGGCTCACGGGGCTGGCTCACGTAGCAGACACGCTTTCAAAGCTGAAGACATAATCAACTGCAAGGCAGGGGAGGCTTTGAAATAATCACAAGTCCTTCACGTTGGAAAAAATCTTGAGAATTGCTTGAAGAGAGTTGATTAAATGAACTACAAGTTCGTTTGAGGTTCACTTAATGTGACAAATGACTACAGAGCTGACTGTGAAGTGGAGAGCACAATCATCCTGCGTTCCTAATGAAAAAGCCTTTTTATTCATATTATCCTAAATTGGCCAAGTGAATTGACCAGTGGATCAGAAGCTGCTTTTGTTCAACATATGACTGGAGAGAATTGATCTCTTAGTTAGAAGATGTGTTAATGAAAACTTCCTATGGCAACAGTCCAACAATATTCACCATATATTTGGGGGAATATTCTCCATGGTTACTCTAATATAACTGCTTAAAAATCAATTTCACTTTGTCATTTTTTTTTTTATGTGAGCTAGGTGGCAAAATACTCTGATTTAAAGACCAAGAAGAGAAATCAGCTGGGAGTCGAGTGTGATATGTGCTGTCAGGACTCTTAAATTTCTTCTTTCTTTTTGTACTGGGGATTGACCCTAAGGGCACTTTACCACTGAACTACATCTTTGGTCCCTGCTCAATTGCTGAGGCTGATCTCAAACTTTCAATCCTCCTGCCTCAGCCTCCCGAGCCACAGGATTATAGTGTGTGCCACTGCTCTTGGCCTCTTCCAATTTTCTCATAACCATAGATGACAATGCACAACAGATGCTGAGACAGATAGAAAATTATAACCATTAATGTGAAACAGTTTTATGATAAAATAACACTATATTATGGAATAGGGGGAGCATTTTTGCAAGAATTGTCAAGGGAAAATTCAAGACTTCAAAAACATCTTTTTGAACTTGGGAAAAGAAGAGATTTGCCTTGTCCATATCCTCAGACCCTGAGGTATACATTCATTTTCCTCTGGTGTTATTACTGATAATATGCTGCAGGTGTAGTTCAGTGGTAGAGTGCTACCTTAGCATAAATGAGGCCTTGGATTTGATCCCTAACACTGTAAAAAAGTAATAATAAAGCTAATACTTGATGTGTCTGGATAGGTTAGGTTATGCTTGTAAATAAACAAAACTCAGTGATAACATAAAGAAGATTTATTTCTTGCTCATGCTGCTTATCCTTTTTTTTTTTTTTTGTGTGTGTGTGTGTGTGTGAGAGTCCTGGGGATTGAACTCAGGGGCACTCAACCACTGAGCCACATCCCCAGCTCTATTTTGTATTTTATTTAGAGACACGGTCTCCCTGAGTTGCTTAGTGCCTCGCTGTTGCTGAGGCTGGCTTTGAACTTGTGATCCTCCTCCCTCAGCCCCCTGAGCCACTAGGATTACAGGAATATGCCACCATGCTGGGCTGCTGCTTATCCATTATGGGCTAGCAGAAGACTCTTATCAGTTATTCAGGAATCCAGTATAAAGAGTAACCAACATCTTGAACACTGATAGTTGCCATATCAGAGGGAAAGGGAATCAGAAGAGTCTCAAAGTAGCAAATAAATGCTTCAGGCACAAAGTGATGCATCCTTTCTACTCAAACTCATTGGTCATACTCGATCATAAGAGGGCCAGGAAATAAAATCCCATATACAAAACAAACACGCAAAAAGTCAGAAATATTGAATGAAGAACATTCATTGCGTTCATTTACTATGGGTTAGAGCTATTTTAAATAAAGGCATTATCTTACAACAATCCTGTGAAATAAGTACTATCATCATTCCCATTTTATAGATGAGATAACCAAGGCACCTAAAGGTTAAGTAACCTGCTAAATTCACATGGTAAGTGTTAAAACTGAGTATTTAAACCCAGACATTCTGGCCCCAAAGTGTGTGTGCTTAATCTCCAGACTATGCCTTCCTTCTCTCACCGAATGAAAAAATTGGAGAAGCATTGCCATAGGCAATGGAACACTAAAGGATTTTTAAGCAGGTTAGTGAGATTCTTTTCATGTAAAATCTCTCTCTAAAAAGAGATAGAGAGATATGAAGGATCAGTTTATTTAGAGTAAGACTTAAAGCAAGAAGGCTATTTGCAGAGTGAAGGGATGAAGATGAGAAGGGCTTGGAGTAAGGCACAATCACCAAATAACTGAGTAATCTGGTTTGGTTTGGTGCTGGGGATTGAATCTAGGGCCTTGAGCATGCTGGGCAAGAGCTCTATCACTGAGTGATCTTGACCCTCTCTTTCATCAACTAAAAAATGGCTAAAGCAATACCTATTTTGACTTTTTCTTTCTTTTTTTATTTTCTTTACGGAAAACAGTTTACAAAATGTATATTCACAAAGGTCTCCTAGGCATGGGTAGAACAGAATGGTTTAGATAGAATTAAATTGTTGTGATTCATTAAATAATAGTAAATTTTAGTTTTTCTCTGATGACATGAAAGTTTTGAGGGGAGACTAGTCTTGGGAGAAAGTGGAGATTCAGGAGAGGGTTATACAAAAATAAGAGGATTCTGAGTTTTTCATCTTACCAGCTTCCCTGATCTAATGTTTCCATGGCAGCCAAAATGATTTGTTTTTCAGTTCTGGGCATGGAACCCAGGGTCTCACACATCCTAGGTGAGTGCTCTACCACTGAGCTACACTCCCAGCCTTCAGAATAATCCTTTAAAATCACAATTCAAATCATGTTGTTCCTCGCTCGGTCAGTAGGATGCCTGATACTTAGCCGTTTCTCAGGAACAATTTGCAGAGTGAGTGAGTGAATGAATGAATGAAAACAAGAGCAAGATGGCAGATGTTTTCCTAAAGAAAAGGACAGCCACTAATAAATTATCTGTAGCAAGGTGGCTTTGGACAATGATGTTTAATAATCATTTTTAAGTCATTGCCTATTCTGTGCTATGTTGTAATCACCACCCTCCTCCCAAATAGCCTTCAGTATGAGTCTGCTACACAAAACTGCATTGTTTTGTGAAGATGTAATGAATCAAAGAAGACACAGATTGTCTAGGCAGTAGGCAGAACAACGTCCGAAGATGGTGATGGCAGTAGAAAGCTAGTGAATATCAGTGGGAGGCGGCATTCCCATAGAGGAGTGACCAGAACCTTCCGAAAAATGGGGAGAGTGTGATGTCCCCTTAAACTTCGGCTAGGGACTTGGGCCCTTTTATGTGTCTGTTGAAGGAAAAAAAAAAGCTGGAGGACTTTGGGGTATCCACAACCCGGAAATTACATAAGGATGATAAAAACTTAATTCTGAGTTTTTGTGAAGATTATATTGGGATAATTCATGTAACGTGGTTAGCACTGTGCCTTCCACAGCAAGAACTTAGCAAATGTTTGCTTTCTTCCTTTTCCTTTATTCCTTCCACTCTTTCTGCTAGGCTCCATTCATTCTTTTCCAAGGACATGCAGGGGGCGTGTCTTCTCTTTCTCCGCCCCTACAGAAGCCCCTCCCCGGCCTCTCCCGGGATTGGTTCTTGGAAGGCGGAGCCGAGGCAGCGCGGCGCGGTGGGGCGGGGCGCATGCGCGGGCTAGGCAGGGTGGAGGTGGAGAGGAAGAGCTGCCGGAAGTAGGCGGCGGAGGTGGTGTCCGAGGTGTCGGCAGCTGCCAGGGAAACCGAGGCGCGGGACACACTGCCGGCAGAAAGGCAGGCCCGGGGGTCGGCTCTGCGTCCGGCACCCAGGAAGCCTCGGGCTCCCTTCGCCTGGGCTGAAGGTCCCTGGTCCAGCAACCTCCGCTGGACCCAGGCCTTTCCCTGAGCCCGCCAGGGGGCGCGGCGCCGAGGGGCTGAGGAGTGGGGGGCTGACGCCGCTGACCCTAGAGGGGCGCCGGGAGGTGCGGGAGGAGAGCTCTCCCCCGCTCAGGTGGTGCTCCTGGGCGGGGGACCGGGAGTTCTCACCTCGGACTGAGACGGGGGCATCTGGGGGCGAGGAGGGCGCGTCGCCCTCTGCCCCCGCCGGCACCCTGGCCATGACCGGCAAGTCGGTGAAGGACGTGGATCGGTACCAGGCGGTCCTGGCCAACCTGCTGCTGGAGGAGGATAACAAGTTTTGTGCGGACTGCCAGTCTAAAGGTAGCGCGTCCCTCCGGGTGGGCGAGGGGTCCAGTCGCCGGGCCGCGCCATGGGGATGGATGGCCTGCGTGGGGAGGGGGTTTGTGGAGTTTAGGGCGCCCAAGTCATCTTTAAATGGTAACGCGTCTGGTGAGCATGCTAGGTTTTGTGCGGCTCGGGGTTTGGTGCGAGCGAATTGTGTGTCAGAGGTGGTAATGGTGGGGGGTGTGGGGGGCGGTGAAATTGGTGTGTTCAGGTGAGAGTGTCTGTATTTCAGGGATTTGATGACTTCTGGGTCAACTGTCAGTCCGGAGCTAGCAGCCTTTCACTTGCAAATCTATGGATGAACTGCATTGTGAGTGTGCGTGTGCGCGCGCGCGCGCGTGCATCGTGTGTGTGTGTGTGTGTGTGTGTGTGTGTGAGAGAGAGAGAGAGAGAGAGAGAGAGAGAGAGGAGGGGAGGAGGTGAGGAGGGAGGTGAGATGACAGATAACTGCTTAAATGATTTTTTAAAGGTGGTGATTGTTGCTGCCTGCTCTTTGGTGAGCAATTCCTTCTGTCATTTTACAGCCCTGCTGAGATCTGACAAGAGTGCTTAGGTGGCTTTCTTCTTCCAGGATGTGTGCAGAGGGAAGCTGCCTTATGCAGTGACACAGTGCGGATTTCTAGACAGCCTAGCCCTGGTTTGTGGAGTGCGTTGGAGGCCTCATGTGTGTGCTGGCAGAAACTAACAGATTTGGGCTGTAGCGCAGGATCAGTTTTATCAGTGGACAAAAGGAAGCAAAGAATTCATCGTCGGATTTGTTGCTTCCATAGTGATTTCTCTAGTAAAGGTGAAATAGTGTAAATTGGCAGAATCATTTAGTCTTTGTTTCCTGTGCCCTCAAAATCCATGATTCAATACAATTAAAAATCAGTGTGATAGGAAAGCTTGGTTATTAGTGAAATGTTTACATTTAACATTTATAGATACAAATTACAATATTTGGGGGGATATTATTCATTTACTTTTGTTGGTAATGCAGAGGATTTGCTAGGGTTATTTGCCATATAGCATGTTGGATATATATAGTATAAAAATTCAAATGTAAATATATTTATTTTGAAAAAGGAAGATGCTTAATCAATGGTTTCACTTGATTACTTTTTTTTTTTTTTTTAGAATAGGTTATGTAAGGAGGACAGAGGAATGATGCATTGATTTAGTTACCTAGTAGTATATTTTAGTGACCTCTACCAATAGGTAAATGAAATTTGTCATTAGGAAAGCAGATCCCCAGACTTCTTTTCCTAAATTTTTACATTAGCAAGAATTTATTTAAAAAAGTATTTTAGAATCAATTTATGTTGAGTAGGTTAATTTCTTATAGATTGATCCTTGTTAGATCTTTGGAGGATTCAGTTTAAAATTTGTGAGTTTTTTGTCTTTACTCAAATTACCTTATGTCCTTACTTGACAGATTTTGAGTCATAGTGAAGCAACCCACTGGAGTGAGCATTGCTACATTTGGAAAGTCAGATGCCATTTTGATGATTAGTAGCACCCACTCCCCTACTTCTCATATTACTTGTATTCTTACTCATGTTCCAATAAAATATAGCATGTGGAAGAGAGGTTGATTCACCACTTCTTCCTCCAAATTTTTTTCAAATTTTTTGTTGCTCTTTACTAATAACCTTGTTGGGGATCATATATTGAAACGTTAGTTAATTCTTAATGAGAACTTGTAACTGCTTGTTTGTAAAAACTTATAGCTGCTGTTGATGGTAAACATCAATAGATAGTTACCTGGTAGCGTTGACAAAAAATATATTTGGTTGGAGAAGGAATCTAAAAAACTGTTGGCTAAAATGAAAATTGGGTTTGAGTTTGTTTATCTGTATTTCTTGTGTCTTAGAAAATTGAGTTCTAACTGTATAGGCTCTGGTGAGTGCTCATCCATTAATATTCAATCAGTTGATATACTGACCCACAGGTGAATATTTCTGTAATGTTCTGAAATAACTCTTTGGCAACGACTCTTCTTTTTAAAGTCTTATTTAGGAATGATATTTCTTTATTAATTGATCCCAAAAATGTATAATTTAAATTTCAGAATAGAGAAAAAGCAGGTGTTCTTTTTATTTAGTAGAAGTTTTGTTGGTCCTGGGGTTTTTCATTTTTTGAGTACAAGGTTCCCCAGTACCTGGGTTCTCTATGGCACTGGCTTGATTTCAGTATGGGGAAAGAAGATGCTTCCCTGATGCCTCTTTAAAAACTCCATTGCTGGGGCTGGGGTTGTGGCTCAATGGCAGAGCACTTGCCTGGCACGTGTGAGGCACTGGGTTCATTCCTCAGCACCACATAAAATAAATAAATAATAAAATAAAGGTATTAAATCCATCTACAACTAAAAACAATTAAAAAAACCCCTAAGCCCAAGATGTGTTTTCTCATCACCAGAGACCTCAAGCTAATGTGATCTTTAGGGGCAATTTTTAGACTGACTTAAATAATGATCAACAGAGGACAAAACTACTGAAAATTTCAGATATGTCAGTGGTAACTCTGGCTAATTGAGGCCCAGTTTCATTTTTGAGTAAGATGGAATGTGTCATACTTTGTTCATATTTGGAATCTTACTGGTCCAAGGCTTGGTCTTTTCTCTGCAGTTCTTGTGCCTGGAATAAACCCCCAAGCAACTCCTCAGAGACTGTGGATTAAACTGGACACTCCTGTTTACCATGAGAGGATCTGCCTTTTTGTTGATTTGAGTACGCATGTCCAGTATTGGGACTCTCCTTTATCAATCAAGGTTTATGAGAAATTGGGAGCTGTTTAATGAGCAAAGAATTTAAATGGAAGAAATTTGATGGTCTTGAGGAATATTTACTTCAGACTGTGAACCTTGAGAAGAATTTTATATATATATGTATATATGTATATATATATATATATATATATATATATATATATATATATATTTATTTATTTTTACTTTTTACATCTCCTACATCTTGTTTCACCACTAATTACCACTGCCTCTGTTCCAACTCCCATTATATATTTTTAAATTTAAATTTACTTTTTGAAAAAGGTAGCACTTTTATGTGGTTCAAAATTCAAAAGATCCAAAAGACAACATGTATAGTGAAAAGTCATTATTCTGTCCCTGATCCCTCAGCCACTTTTTTCCCTCCTGGCAGGTAACCACTATTGGCAATTTCTTACCTGACTTTTGAGAATAATATATGCCATGAAGAATAAAGGCATTTGAATATATTACTTTTAGTACTTTTATGCAAATAGTAGCATATTACCCACAATTCTTAGTATCTTGCATTTTTCAATCAACAATACAACAGTATAACATGGAAATGATGAAAGTTCTCTCTCCGTGCACATTGCATTATTTAAGGTATTGTGTAAGGCACTATCCAGGATGTCTTGATTAAGTTGGAAGATATTCTCAAGTGATTTGGAAGGCAGCTTCTCTCATTGGAGGCATCTTAGAAAGTGTCCTAGGCCCATCCATAGCATTTATAAGCCCATCTTTCAGGAGGCAAAGAGGCAGAGTAGTAGAAGGGGCAGTAGACTTTAGAATGGAGCATGTAGTTAAATTCCTTTATTCTTTTTACACTAGCTTTGTGATCTTTAGCATGCCACCCAATTTTCTCACCTTAATTTTTTTAACTTTAAAAGATGAAAGTACCTTGAAAACTAAAATATTATTAAAATGTAAGCATCATTTACTTTTATCATTGTTAATCTTATTTTTTAAATTCTGATTTTGTTAGTTTCACTTTTTTACTTTATTCTACAATACTCTAGTTACTGGACCACAGTTAGAATGACTCACCCAGTAAAACCCTAGTCTTTAAGCCAAAACCATTTCCTATATATGGGAGTTCTGACATTTTTGCAGATTTACTTTATGGTACCCTTGAGGATGGCCTCTGGATATTCCCTGACTTTTCAGACTTGCATGAAAGATTAGACCAGTAAATTTCTTTGTGTGAAAATTTTCTAATACAGTTCTAAATTTTAATTTCTGTTAATTAATCTTTAGTTTTTTTTTCATTTGTTTTCCATTGATAGCTAAGATAGCTAAGTTATTGCTTTTTTAGATATCATTCCTTAGAACATAATTTTCCTGTTTTTTTTTTTTTTTGTATTGGGGATTGAACCCTGAGCTATATCTTCAGCCCTTTTTATTTTTTATTTAGAGATAGGGTCTCACTAAATTGCTGAGGGCCTTGTTAATTTGCTGAGGCTGTCCTGAATTTGTAATCCTCCTGCCTTAGTCTCCTGAGTCTCTGGGATTATAGGAATTCTCTTCTGTGCCTAGCTTTCCTGTCAATTTTTAATTATTTTTAGTTATATTGGTGGCATATTTTGAGAGCTTAAAAAAACTATCAGATCTAATAACAGGAGGAGTTCTGCTTTCATTTCTGGTTGTTAAACATCCTTCTATAGCTAAGATCAAATAATTTTCTAGATTTTTTTTTATACCTTCATTTATTTATTTTTATGTGGCCTGAGGATTGAACCCAGGGCCTTACATGTGCCAGGCGAGCGCTCTACTGTTGAGCCACAACCCCAGCCCAACTTTCTAGATTTTTACAGCTAATACACCTTAACTCGACAGTCATGGTTAGATTGACACAGTTTTACTGAAAGTAATTTATCAAAATCCCCATTAAATTGTCTTTTTTTAAATGTATTTTTTTACTTGTCAATGGACCTTTATTTCTTATCTATATGTGGTGCTGAGAATCCAGCCCACTGTCTCACACATGCTAGGCAAGTGCTCTACCACTAAGCTACAACCCCACCCCTAAATTGTCTTTTAATATCAACATGCTAAACCTGTTCCTTGGGAGATAACTTTCCTATTTGTTCTCCTTGTTCTTAAATATTGTTCTGTGGCAGTGAGGAAAAAAAAAAACACAAAATGCCATATCTATTAGGGGGAATCCTTTGAAAGTCTGAGATCCCATACTACATATATTTATTCAGAAAATATTTCTTTAAATTTTTTT